TGACTATGACATCAGGCATTTCTGCTCTGCACAAAACATCACTCAACCCTGACACCTGACACTCCATCTGTCCATCATTGTTACCCTCAGTCCTTCCATCCATCGTTATTACCCTCAGACCTACCACTGTCCCATCATTAATACTCCCCAGACCTCACTCTGTGTTATGATTATTACCTTCATACCTCCCTCCATCCATAATTATTACCTAACACCTCAGTCCATCCACCATTATTACCCTCAGACCTCCCTCCGTCTGATCACTATCACCCTGAGACCTCCCTCCATCATTACCCCCAGACCTTCCCCTACCATCATTATTACTCTAAGTCCTCCAACCATTCCATCATTATTGCCCTCAGGCCTCCCTTCATTTCATCATCATTACCTCAGACCTTCCTCCTTTCATCATTATAACCTAAGACCTCCCCCCATCACAATAGTAGTACTTCAGACTTCCCCCATGCCGTCATTACTACCTCAGACCTCCCTACAACAATAGTTACAACCTCAGACGTCCCTGCATCGTTATTATTCTCAGACCTTCCTACATCCATCGTTATTACCTCAGACCTCCCTCTTTCCATCATTATTACCTCAGACCTCCCTCCTTCCATAATTATTACCTCAGACCTCCCCCATCCCACCATTATTACCCTCAACCCTCCCTCAATCCCATCCTTTTTAACCTCAAAGCTGCTTCATCCCATTATTATTACCTCAGAACTCCCCATCCCAACATTATCACCCTGAGACCTCCCTCCATCCCATCATTATTAACCACAGACCTGTTTCATCCCATCATTATTACCTGAGACCTCCCTCCTTCCATCATTATTACCCTCAGACCTCCCTCCAAATCTATCATTATTACCATCGGACCTACTTCATCCCATTAATATTACTCTCACACCTCCCTTCATCTCATCATTATTACCTTCAGACCCCCCCCATCCCATCACTATTACCTCAGACCTCCCCCCATCATTGTGACAATCAGACCTCCCTCTATCCATCATTATAACCCTGAGACATCCCTCCGTCCGTAAGTACCACCTCACATCTCCCTCCATCACATCATTATTACACCTCCATCTCCCTTCATCCCATCATTATACCCTCATACCTCCCTCCATTTCACATTTCCCTCAGACCTCCCTCCCTTCCATCATTATTATTACTCAGACCTCCCTCCATCCCATCATTATTACCCTCACACCTCCCTGCATTCCATCATTAGTACCTCATACCTCCCTACACGCATCATCATTATCTCAGACATCCCCTCCGTACAGCATTAGTACCCTCAGATTTCCCTCTGACCATCATTATTACCTCAGGCCTCCCTCCATCTCATCATTATTACCCTCAGTCCTCCCTCGATTTCATCATTATTACCTCACACGTCCCTCCAACCCATCATTAGTTCCTCATACCTCCCTACATGTGTTATTATTATCTCAGACCTCCCTCTGTCCACCATTAGTACACTCACATTTTCCTCCAACCATCATCATTACCTCAGACCTCCCTCCATCCCATCATTATTACCTCAGAACTCCCCCATCCCATCATTATTACCTCAGAACTCCCCCATAACATCATTACCTCAGACCTCCCCCCATAACATCATCTCCCCCCATAACATCATCATTACCTCAGATCTCCCCCCATAACATCATCATTACCTCAGACCTCCCCCCATCCCATCATCATTACCTCAGACCTCCCTCCATCCCATCATTATTACCTCAGAACTCCCCCATCCCATCATTATTACCTCAGAACTCCCCTATAACATCATTATTACCTCAGACCTCCCCCCATAACATCATTATTACCTCAGACCTCCCTCCATCCCATCATTATTACCTCAGAACTCCCCCATCCCATCATTATTACCTCAGACCTCCCCCATAACATCATTATTACCTCAGACCTCCCCCCATAACATCATTATTACCTCAGACCTCCCGCCATAACATCATTATTAACTCAGACCTCCTTCCATCCCATCATTATTACCTCAGACCTCCCCCATAACATCATTATTATCTCAGACCTTCCTTGATCCCATCATTATTACCTCAGACCTTCCTCCATCCCATCATTATTACCTTAGACATCCCTCCTTCCATCATTATTGCTCTCAGATCTTCCTCCATTCATCATTGTCACCCTCAAACCTCTCTCCATCCCATCATTATCACCTCAGGCATCCCCTCATGCCATCATTATTACTTCAGACCCCCCTTCTTCCCATCGTTATTACCCTCAGACCTCCCTCCAGTTCCATCATTGTTACCATCAGACCTGCCTCCGTGACATCGTTACCCTCAGACCCTCTATCCATCATGATAACCCTGAGACTTCCCTCCATCTATAATTATCACCTCAGACCTCCCTGCATCTCATCATTACTCCCCTCAGTCCTCCCTTCATCCCATCATTATTATTCTTGGACCTCTCTCCATCCCGTCATTATTACCTCACACCTCCTTCCAGTTCCATCATTATTACCCTCAGTCCTCCCTCCATCCCATCATCATCCTCAAACTTCCCGCATTCCATCATTTACCTCCGACCCCCCCATCGCATCATTAGTACCTCAGACCTCCCTCTGACCATCATTTTTACCTCAGAACTCCCTCATCCCACCTTTATTACCTCAGACCCTCCTTCATTCCACCATTAGTACCTCAGACTTCCCTCTATCCATTGTTATTTCCTCAGACTTCCCTCCAGCCATGGTTGTTACCTCAGACCTTCTTTCATTACATCATTAATACCCACAAACCTCCTTCTGTCCATCTTTGTTACTCCTCACACTGCTTCCCACCTGGCACAGTTGGCAGTACAATGTTTTTTTGGGAGTCATTCATTATTGATACTTAAATGGGGATAACCAGAGTCATTGTAACACACTTGTTGGTGTCCTCCGGTGTCCTGAGTCGTGCCATTTCTCCCGCCCTCGTCGTCAGGGTCCAGGTGCCTGTGTGGGGTCCAGTCTGTGAACGCATGCTGAGCGGGAGTGCGGAGGGGTGCTCCTCTGAGTGTCCTCCTCCTCCTCTGGTACCCTAATCCTGGCAGTGATCCCTGGAGCCCACCGTCCCCAGGCCCGGGCCTGGAGTGGGGTATGAGGTGGTCCTGGACCCAGCCTGCCAGCTGAGAGGGGCACAGGTGCGTGGTGCTGTCCACATGGCGGGGTGTTGTCCCGACTGTGCGTGTAGCCTCTTCAGCGGGGGACAGCCTCCCTGCTGTACGCCCTGCACCTCCTCTGAGGATGTGAAAACCCTCTTTGCTTGGTGTAGAGTAACCCTAATTGCAGCCTTCCTAGCTAAGACCTTAGAGAAACTCTAGATTTATGATTTTCCTTTGTCAGAATGTTCTTTGATGTGGCAAAGTGTGAATTAGACACGCGCCTCTTTCAAAAGCCTCAACACGTACAATTCGAAAGGAGAGTTTTATCTGCTCCCATTCCCGGCCATTCTGTCTGTGCCCGCAGAGCCCAGCGCCACACAGCAGTGGAGGCCCGAGATGGCCACGCTCAGCCCGTGGCTCTCAGGCAGGGTGGCGGCTCGCGCTGCACAGGGAGCAGAGCCTTCCCTTCTCTTCCACGGGCACCTGCTGCTGAGGGTTTCTCAGGGCTGTGCAGAGGCCGAGCAGCTGCCGCCGAGTGTCATGGAAAGCGCCTGGAGCTAAGGCGCTGCCCGTGTGCACTCCGGGGACAAGTTGAGTCCTGAGCGCTCCTCCGCCAGAACCGCCTGCGAGCACCTGGGCCTTGTCTGGGAGGGCGGGAGCCCGGGCCTCTGCGCTCTCTGCGCTGCGTCCCGCGCGCAACAGCCAGTCCCGCGAGGGCCGGGGTCGGCGCTGCCTCTGAGGAAGCCGGCTGGGAGCCGCGTGTGCTGCTCGGACTTGGTGAAGAGCCAGGACCCCTCGTCCTCCGCGGGCGCCGCGGTGGGGAGGGACAGCTGGCTGGGTCCGGCCAGGGGCCTCTGGGCGAGCGCGTGGTCCGGGCGTTTGCTGTGGCCGCCAGCGCTCCTTCGGGAGCTCCGTGCCAGCGCATCCTGTTATCAGGTCCCATGACACAATTCCTGGTTCCCCCAACTGCGTTTTATTATTGTTATTCTTAAAATTGGGGGGGGTTGAAATGGAATTTAGGGCCGGGAGGGGGGTGACAAAATGCACACCCACTAATTGCTCCAGGAAGCCGCCCTTAGACAGGCCGGGGCCTTTGCAGGAACACGTGGAGTTTATCTGGGCGCGGGGCGCCCCAGCCCATGGCAAAGGGAAGCCGGGCAGTTCCGTGACGTCAGACTCTGTTAGGAAAACGGGACGTGGTGACAGCCTGCTGGTGACATTTCCCGTATCTCAGGGCTGGTCAGGTGGCGGCTGGGAGCAGGGGTGGGGAGAGGGGAGCTCACCGAGTCGTCCGCCAGCCCTCCCATTTCCTCCCTGCCCGCCAGAATCGCGGGCTGATAGTGGACGTCGCCAGTGTGGGGGCCGCTGTGCCGCGACCCCCTGTAGGGAGACAGGCAGGGAAGGAAGACCCTCCGTCTCTCCAGCCACTGGGCGGCCTCAGAGGCTCTGTCATTGCGGTGCCGGTTTGTCTCTTTTGCAAACTTACAGAGGCGTCGGCGTGCGGACTCCTGCCCTGGAGCAGATGAGCTCGCGGCTTCTCAGCACTGTGGTCGCGATCGCGCCCGCGCTTGGGCGGGGCAGCACCGCGCCGTCAGAGACCCGTGCGCGCTGTGCCGCGGAAGACGCGGTCGCTCCTGGGACCGCCGGCTCCTGCACCGGGGCGGCCGGGCTCTGGCGAGCAGGTGCCCCTGGCTCAGGGCACTCGGGCAGGAACCAAGGAGGGAGTGGAGCGAGGGTTCCCGGGGAGACGCGTGTCAAGGCCGAGCGTGACTCCGCAGGAGCACGTCTGTGTCATGTACGGGTATCTTGCCGTAGAGTCCTGTTTCCCTAACGCTTCCTCAACTTGTGTTTTCTTGCAGTAAACGAGGTAATACGGAATGACCTCTCCGGCACCAACACCCATTCGTAGCTGCCACGTTGGAGTTCGCACAGTTCAATGCAGAAGTCGAGCTTCAGCAGAGACGTTTGACTAAATAAACCGAACACACACCTGGTACCGCTCAGAGCTTCCGACTTCCTGGATGCTGGAGCTGAGAGTTCAGATTGTATGGACAGAGGAGTCGCTCTCGGCCGGGCGGAGGGAGGTGGCGGAAGACCATCGCATCTCCTGAAGGAAAAGTCATCTCGAGACGCCGGAGGGTGGCCGGCGGGGCGCGTGCCTTTCACAGACCTACGGACACGCGGTCTGACCCCGAGCCACCCCCCGGCACCCCTGGAGTTCAACACTGGAAGTGCCTTATTTAACCAGCCATCCGGGCTCCGTGGAATCGCGCATTGAACTTGCTGCCGCGAGAGTGTCTGTAGGAGCAGAAGCTGTCGGAACATTTCGTTGTGAATTGTTATCCGCTGTGTGAATTCAGAGAATACTGTCAAGCTGAGGGCTGTCAGAGAAAGCTGATCCGAGTTTCTTATCTTTTTCAACTCTTCCCGGGCTGTACCATACAATCTCGCACCTCGCCCAGTGCATCCCGGAAATCTTCCAACCTGTCATCTCAGCTCTTTATGATATACTTGTTCCTAAGACTGTAGGATTGTTAACAGTAGCATGCTAGGACCTTTGTTTCTAATCTGGCTTGGAACATAGCACAAGTAAGTCGAATAGCACAAGCTAGGTTACTGGACAAACAGGGAATTCTGTTGCGGGATGGGTCTTGCATTTGCATGTATGTGCATATATAGACACGTATGAATAGTGCATGACAGATGGTGATGGCCGTCCAGCAAGGGCTTCCACGTTAGCAATAACAGTATCATTCTGGAAAGTGCATCTGGGACTCCACACCTGGCTTCCCAGCTCCCTCCTGTGGGGCGTGTCCCTCCCCCACCCCCCGCAGACGGCCACGAGCCCCTTAAGCCGGAGAGGGGCATCCGCACAGCCATGGCTCAGCACACGGCCAGACGGGGAAGTAGCTGTAAATAACGTCACAAAAGGAGTGTAATATATTTGTTCAGTTGTAAGGTTATCATTTCACAGAAGCCTTAGAGCGCTGCGCTTCTAACAGTTACCAAAAACAATGTTTCAATATGCAGCAGTGTATAGAATGTTTCCAGATTAGTTACTGTTCATAGACAGGTTAGTGTAGGCTCGACTACTGCATTTTGTACAGTTAAGTGCTTATTACACATTATGACTAGCAGTGACCTAGTATTCATATAACCAAAAAGCATGGTTCAAGTAAACGTGTTTAACTAATAACTGTGCCTTAGGAACGAATGCCCCCTGGTGGAACTCGCCTGCACTGCGCCTGCGGCGGGGGCCGTGGTGACTGTCGCCGAGCAGAGTTGGGACGGAGGACGCTCCCGCGGGGAGAACTCTCTCTCGGATATTCTCCCGCATGATTATGTCTCACTTTCTTAACTCACAGAGAGAGACAGAGACTGAAAGCCGTGTCTGTAACACTTGCACATAACTGTGAAGAGCTGACGGCGTGTGGCCGCGTGTACAGATGCCCGGACCTGGCGCCGTAGGCGGTGCATGGGACCCCCCCAGCGGCTGTCGCGGGAGGAGGGAGTGTCCGGTGTGGCCGTCTCTGTAGTTAGGAAGCAGACCCAATAAAGCAGCACTTCCTGGCTGGACGGCCTTGGTCTGGAGTGGTTCATGGCAGGCTCCGCGCCGTCTCCTTTGCTCCTAGACGTGTTTTCTTTTGTGTGTGCTCGCGACCTCCGCGGAGGCGCTGGGTGTGTGCTCGGTCGCTGAGCGGGAAGCGCGCCCTGCCGGCAGCTCTTCTTCCTCTCCCGCGGGAAGAAAAGCCTGCCGTGGAAACGAGCGCGTGTGTGGCGGTTCTCAGGCCCTTATCTAAACAAAGTGCTTTGGAACCGTTCCTCCGTCCAGGTGGAGAAGGAACTTCTGCTCATGCCAAATACTTCTGCTCGGAGAAATATCCTGGGTGAGGCTTTGGCCACACACAGACTCGCGCGCAGTGGGCCGACCATCTGGGCGAGAGAATGTGCGAGCTGGACCGCGAGTGTCTCGCGCCCCGCCCGGCTGGTTCCTCGCGGGGCGGGGGGGCAGGGGGGAGTCTCTGGCCTTCCGTGAGTCAAGCGTGAAACCTGGGGCCTCACGGTCGTCATCCTTCTTATCTCAGAAACAGCGTTTTCCTTTTGGGGCTTTAGAGAACGCACGAGTTCCCGTCCTTTTGCTAAGAGGTTCACAGGTTGCGCTGAAGCGCTGAAGAAACCGTCAGCGCCTTTGGCCGTTAGTGCCAATCCCACCAAGCTTCTGCACCTGACCGTACTTGAGGACGGCTCGGCGGCGGGCCACGGGCCCTGCGCGGCGTGCGGGAAAGCGCCGTGGTAGCAGGGAGGTGCCACCAAGCTCCGGCTGCGAGCGGCCTGGGCCTGGCTGGGGCCCAGCAGAGCCCGGCGCGTCAGACCCAGAGGAGTCGGGATGTGCCGTTGCTTCCTCTGCCGAGAACAGCCTGGGCTGCCGCTTTCTGCCACCACGAGTTTGCCGGAAGCTCTTAGCTTCAACGTGAGTTTTTCAAACCCCTGTTTTTCTCAAGCCCAACAATACAATTTTATATTCCCAAAATATAAATGTATAACATGATGGATGGTTTCTGCAAAAGAAGCTGCGCTTCTTTGAATAACCCCATTTACTCAGTTACTGCGTCTTTTAGGCAGATTTGGGCAATGAGGGAAACGCACCCGGCGGCTTAATTCTGAGGAGGTTTTGCCGTCGGGAGGAGCTGTGGGAGCCTGTGTGTGCTCCCGCGAGCACGCCAGAGCCAGGAGTGCGTTTTTCTGGGAAGCTTCCCCGCGGGGCACTGGGTACCTCCTGGCGTTCGCTGGCCTCTCTCGGAGACGCTGTCCTCGGCGGCAGAAGTCACGGGGGGACGGATGCATTTTCCTGCGCTCATCCTGAGACGAAGCAGGGAGCTCTGTGCACAGGCCAAGGCCGTGTTTGCCGCATCCCTGAGTCTGAGACTGTTTGGGATGAAAGGAAATCTGAAAATACCAGATTTCTCCTCGTAACCAAGGGCAGCCCGCACAAGACCAGCGTTTGAGGCCCCGTCTCTGTGTCTCGGGGCGTCTCACGGTGCGAACAGCCAGGGCCGCGGCCGACTGCTCCCCGGCCCTCCCAGGAGCACTGCGGCCCCGGGACACGCCCGGCCACGCTCCCAGACACCCGGGACAACGTCCGCGCAGTGACAGCACACGGGGGCTCTTCTCGATGCTGATAAAATATTGCTGTCAAATACGTTGTGTTGAAATACATAAGCCGCGTTGGAGTTAGTGTGTTTGGAGGAAGCTGAGTTGAAGCTGAGATAAAAGGACGTCTTCGAGAGAAGTCCTCCGTCAGCTTTCTGGGTTTTTTAGTTGTGAAATTCGGTAAGATGAAATTAGCTATTTTAAAGCACATAAATCGATGGCACGGGTTGTGTAAACACCACCTGTGTCTAGTTCCAAAATATTTTTATCGCCCCCAAAGAAAACCCCGCACCCACTACAGCTGTTCCTCCCCCCAATCCCGGGACGCTGATGAGCCCTCTGTCCCCGCGTCCCGCCCTGCACGCTGCGTGTGCTGGAAGCGTGAGCACGTGGCCCTCGCGTGTGGCGCCTGCACTTGGCATCCGTTTTCGGGTTCGCCGTGTTGGAGCCTGTGTCCGGGCCTCGTGCCTTCTTGCCACAGATAACGTTCGCGGCCTGGGGTCGCTGCCTTTGTTTCCCTTGCGGCAGCTGGTGACGTCCGGCTTGTCCCCTCTGGCTCTTGTGAATCGTGTTGCCACCGACTCGTGTCCGGGTTTTCGTTCAGGCCTCAGTTCTCGGTGCCGTGCGGTGTAGGCCTGGGAGCAGGTTCCTGGGAGACGTGGTAGCCGCTGTTTTCCTCTGCTCCATGTCAGAATTACCCATCCCTGAGACAGGCGCTGGCTCGCTAACCTAATTTGGAATCACATATGTGAAGTACATCATATTTATAATTCTTTATGCCAAAAAAATTAAGTTAAATATAAGATGATGGAGTGTGCGCTCCTAGCAAAGCAGAAGGCAGCCCCCACCGTGCCACCCGCAGCCACTCCAGAGCCCGGCCCGGCCTGGGTCTCTGCCAGGAAACGAGGACCTCAGATGCACATGCGTGTGAGTCATTCAGATGGTGCCGGCGGAGCCCCTGGTGACACGTTTTCATTTTACTTCACACATACAAATTAAAGTGGAGAAAGGCACCTCGGTGCCGATCGTTCGGTGCCGTGAGGGGCAGCCGCACAGTGGAATGTTTCTTAAATCATCGAGCTTCTGCAGCTCTTACACAACGATTGCCCGACTGACACCAGAATTCAGTGTTCTGACTTTTCTGCAAATAAAGCTGCAAAGCCACTCGGAGTTTTCTAACTTGTGTCATCAGAAAACAGCTGCCGTTCCCATGGGGCAGTTTTCTCTGGGCCCCGGTCTCCAGACGGGGGCTTTGCTCCTCTCTCCCCAGCGGGGCGGAGCAGGCGCCTTCCCTGGCTGGCGGCAGCGGCTGCCTGTGAGTTCAGTGAGCAGAGCGCGTCTGTCTGAGCAGACGTCCCCCTTTTTCCAAAAAGGAGGAGGAAAATAGCAGTGAGAGGCTATTCTGGGGGTGGTGTGGGTCACATCTGGAAGGGAGGGCGTGACTCAGCGGCGGGGGCCAGGGCGGAGGACGGGTGTTTCCCGCCCCTGCTGTGCCTGCCCCGGGCCTGACCGGGCCGGGAGTGTGCGGGCCCTGCCTGCGCCCAGCTCCCTTCGTCCCCTGCCCTGCCCGGCGCGAATCTGCCCCGTCCACAGGCTCTGCTGGCAGAGGTGCGTCTTCTAACTACACGCGTGTCTCTGAAGGGCCGGTGGGCTCCACGGCCCTCGCGCTGTGTGGGGGCTTCACTGTCTCTGGAGCAGCGGGAGCAGCACCTCACACTCGCAGGGGCCTGGGGGCAGAGCAGGGCCCCCAAATAGCACCCCTGAGAGTCGTTTCTGTGACTTGGTCCGTTAGCTCTTGAGGATGTCGCGTCCGCCCTGCCGTGAGGGGCTTTCCGGTGCGACCGTGGTGCTCTGAGCCTCCACTCAGGGACGGTGGCTGAGACCAGGGCCGCCTGCTCACTGCCCCCAGGATGTTACGTGTGGTGGGCGTGGTGGGGGTCGCCCCCAGCCCCCGCCGCAGGCTCCCCTCCCCTACCCCTGCTGGTGCCGCCCACCAAGCAGAGAGTCTCTGCGACCTTCGGGGAGGCCTCCGTTTCCTCCTTTGGAGAAATGGGCCGTGTGAACCCGTTGGACGGTTGTGAGTCAGCGAGGGCCCAGGGCTGTGCGCTGAGCACCCCTTTGCCCCAGGCGCGTTCCGGAAACATCACATGGCCTGGTGGAGGCAACTCCAGGGCCCAGGGGCGAGCCTGCTCGGAGCCCCCCGTGAGCCCACCCTGAAGATTTCCGGGGCAAGAGCCGCAGGAAAGGGAGCGGAGCGTGCCAAACCCTCGACGGGGGCGCCCGGGTGCTTAGGACCTGGGGTGCCAGGGCACGGGGCAGAAGGGGTCTCCGAGGAGCAGGAGGGTGGCAGATTTTATCTCCCAAAGTGAGTCAGGCAGAATTTCTGGGCCCTGGTCAAGGAAGGGGGGCTATTTCCCTGCCCTTGGCCTGGCGGACTCCGTGAGCGCCTGGGAAGTGATGCCTCGGAAGTGACCCTGCCAGACTGGCAGGGCTGGCACCTGCTCCTCTCTGGGGCTCATCCGTGGGACCCAGGAGCCGAGTGGTGAGGAAGCCCAGGGAGAACCTGCGAGGTCCCAGCCGAGAGTGGCGGATAAGAGAGGGGTAGGGAGAGGGAGGTGGGGGAGAGAGCACAGGCCGCGGCAAGGTAGTGAGGTCCAGACCCCAGCCCCAGCCTGTCCTTGCCAAGCTCTGCCCAAAATGCAGAACGAACGTCCTTTCCCCGCCGTGAGCCTGGGGCTTGTCGTGCTGCAGGGGAGGACAGAGGTCAGAGGGGGCGGCAGGGCCCGGGACTTGGCTCTGAGGCAGGTGCACCCGTGGAGGGCCGTGGCCGACCAGAGACGCAACGGGACCAGTCTGCGGCGGCTGAGAACAGGCTGTTGGGACGGGGCGGGGTTGGGGGTGCCTGTTAGGAGAGTCCTACCAGATTAATAATAAAACACCAACAGCAACAGTCAGGTCACGCTGACCGGGGCCGCTGTGGTGAGTGCTGCAAGGGTTGGTTTCGAGACTGCTTGGGGAGGTGGGGACCGTGGGGCCACCAAGGCAGCAAGCCTGCTTCCCTTCCTGCCTTCCTGGCCACCGAGGGCCCACAGCCGCCCATGGCCCTCCCAGCAGGAGGGAGCCTGCTGTCCTGCAGCCAGCCCTCGGTGGCCATGGAGGGGCGGTTCCACCTCCTGGGGACCTGCCAGGCAGGCCCAGGGCTCTGCCTCACTGGAGCGCCCAGCCCTGCACCCCCAGGGCCCCTTCGCAGGCACCTGGCCTCGCTCGCCAGCGCCCCGGTAAACCTCCTGCCCTTCCAGCTACACCTGGAGCCCCATCCCCAGGGCCTCAGCATCCCCGTCTATAAAGTAAGGACGTGGATTCATCCCAAACCTAACGCTCCTGGCCCTCG